TTCATGTACTAATGTCTACTTATTTAGGTGTTTTCAATGGCGAAGTGTCGTTTCAATGAGTGGTTGTATGGTCCTAAGAACCAATGGCTGGAAGAACCACGAAAGGTTAAGGAAAAGAAGAAAGAAAGGGTAATTTACAAAGCACCTCCTGTCATGTGCGAATATAGTGTAAAATCTAACTATGGCCTAGTCCCTTCGGAGCTTGGAATAGGCCATTATTGCGGCCATATGGTTGAGTATGATGAGGTTGGTTATTTTTGTGGTAAACATGAAATCATATTTTGTTTCTTTTGCTAAGACATATATGATATAATTTTTCGTTTGAACAGAGCACTAGGAAATGCAGGTGAGAATGTTATGATGGTCAAGCTAAGTTCTTGGATGAACTGAAGAAGAGGCAAGTAATTGCACGGAAGATGGGATATGGACCTGATTACGTGAACCTATTCGTTAAACATCACAAAGAAAAGATGTGTAAGTTTGCTAGACAACGCGGTATTTGTAACCCGATCGATGTTGGGCTTAACAAATGAGGATTGAAGAGATGGATGACGTTAGAGGAGGAGAGGGCAAGGAATGAGGCAAGGGAGGAGACAAGAGTACAGATGCAGGTCTTGAACGAGCATGTTGTTGCATTATGTGCCAGTGATTGCTTGAAAGCATTTTTTTTCGTTTCCCGATTTTAAATGTAATATAATCGTGTTGCTAACTGATTACATCTCAACTGGGATCCTCTCATAAAGAGCTTCCTCAAAGAAATTGGGACCAAGAGAACCCTCCCACCTAATGATAGTTCCCTTCCCCTTTCCTCTTCCTCTGGACGACCCTCCAGACATTGGTACTGCAACGAAAGAAAATGCTGAGGAGTGTTCTTCTTCCTTGTTGTGTGTGTGAATGAGAGGGAGTGAGTGGTTATTTATAGGTTGAGAGGAGGAATGGATGCCTCTCAATGTGCCATGTCAGCTATCCGTGTGCCTCTTCACCTCGGCCCTTGGATCAAATAGTCACAAGATGGATGGTGGAGATAGAGTGGAGTTGTGCTTCCTTGCATGTCAGTACTATGTCAGTGATGTGATAAATCGTTGCTGTCATTGTATCTGAAAAGTCTATTTTTATTGTCCGAAAAGCATAGATTCATTCACTGTTGCTTGGTAACCCTAGATTCATCTACAAAGCGTATGTACGATACGTTTGGATTATACACGTTCTAATAAATTTATAGTTAATCTGTGTACTACATTTGTGCATTTTTAGCAGTGTAGTATGATTAATGTTTCACGGAAAAAAATTTCCAAGAGTTTCCCTTGTTTTAGGAGCATCCATAGTTACAAACAGAGACATCATTATATATTCCAAACATTTAATCATCCAAGGAGCAAAATGCAACCACAATGAACATCACAACCAACATAATATGTCCTACACAGTCCAAATAGTCCACAATGTCCATACAATCCCAAATAGTTATAGAAAAGTAAATACAAAATCCATAATAGTGCATACTAACAACTACCACATCCCTCACTGCCTCCTACTCTTGCCCTTACCCTTGTGACCGAGAGCGCTCATACCTGGAGTGTAAGGGTCACGTGGACGGCGGCGTCTAGTGCCTAGAGGCGGTGTAGGATGAGTCGAGGGAGTGTCATGGAGCTGAGAGGGGCAAGCTCCTCTTGCCTCTTGTCCACGTCGTCGTCGTCATCTTCCTCGTCCTCATCCCCGTCCCCTGTAGCTGCTTGGCTAGAGGAACCCAAGCCTCCTCTGCATGTGGAAGGAACGTACACGTCTTGCATCGTGTCTGTCCTGCAACCACAACGACCAGCCGCACGGCGTAGACGACGTGACAGCCTCTATTGTACAAAACTATGTTAACTAAAAGAATCTAACGTATTAATGATATGTTTGAAAGAATATTTTTAATCTTACATCTAGGAAGCCAAGTATGTAGTCATCACCGACTCTCGGTCGAATACGCTCAATCTCTTCAACTGAGCATTTGAGTGTATTGCCCTGCAACAAAGTTGTCAGTAATAATACTTTTGAACAGATAGCAATAGGTTTTGTTTTCTTTTGTACAAAAATCTAACGTATTATAAGGGTGATACGGCTCGAAGGTGGCACTAACTAAAATAGATAACTCATAATGTCGGTCAAAGAATGCCTAATATACTGTTGTGCAACTTAACGTAGAAAATTAAGGCAATTGGCTTACCACTCTATCCAAGATCGGTCCTGCCTCCACCTGCCTTCCTGCATGAGTCAATTGGTCGTACGCCGTGTCTTCATCGTTGGAGGACTCAATGTTAGCGTAGTCATCTTCTGTCCACTATACCCTCAGCCTGCAACGTGTTGCATGCTGGTACCAAGCTTGGTACCGCCTGAACTCCACGGTTCGTGTGCGGCTCGTTGTTGCCGTCCACGTTGTCGTGCATCTCCTCCCATTGCTCAATGAAGGACTGGTGGTGCCTCTCCCAGTCAAAAATCTTCTTGTTCTTCTAACGATCCAACCTGCACGTATGTCATCGTTACTTGAATTCATGTACATATCACCATATTAATAGAAATGGACCATCACGAGACATTTGAAATATCAAAACACTTGTGTAAGTCAACGCCAGTCGAGAACAAAGCCGTAGGCCAAAGCTGTCTCACTCTAAATTGGCGTGCAACCCTATCTGGTAGGTGAAACTCGACAGCATAGAAACAGATTAGAGGGCACCTCATCTTATAGAAGTCATCGTCGAACCCACAGACGTTGCTCAACTGAAAAGGAAGTGCGCCCTCTCCACCGTACGGCTCCCACTCCACCTGCAACATGTTCAAACAAGATGTTAGATGGTATACTAATCCTTTTCAAACCAGCATAAAAATAAAATTTACTTACACTAGACGATGTCAGCGTGTCTAGCTCGTTCGTGAACTTAATGTATGCCCGGTCTAACCTCGCGTACGGAACCCCGACCTGGTCCCAAAGGTACGCCCACGTCGGCTGCCGACTTGGAGGTTGACCTTGGAACCACTCACGACGAGCCAGAACCTCTGGACGACCAACTGGAAGACGAGGCCATATCCACAGCTATAATAGGTACACGCACCCACCAAGTGACGGGTTGGACGAAGACCGACGACACCCCTCGCACAGCTGCCGGTATAGAAAACACAAGACTGCAGAGCCCCAGCTGTAGTGACCCGTCTGGTCCCAGTCAGTCAGGCAGTGGACCCACATCTAGGACGCACTGTCACCCGTGGCGTCGGGGAAGAGAACGCAGACAAACAGATGTAGGATCCAAGCCCTGCAGTAGTACCCAACTGTCTCCTCATCTACCCCTCGAGGCACTATGCGAACTCTTCCCGTAGCCAGGAGATGGGAACTCCAGAAGTGCGAGCCCCTTGCTCGCCAAGCTCACGCCCAAGGAAGGCCTCCACTCGTGCTCTCCAGCCCTCTGACCTGCACTGCCCGGTGACTAGGTTGCCGTGAATCCTTAGGCTTAGCATCGATGCGAAAAAAACTAGGAGGAGAGCGATGATACCTTGCTCTCGAAGTTCTACGGATCAAATCAAAGTTTCTAAGTCCAATATGCCGATTCATGAGGTAGGATGGAGTGGGGAGAGAAAAAACCCAGAGAGGGAGGAGAAAGAAAAGGAAGAACGTTTGGGCAGGAAGATTGGGCCGGGGTTAAATAGCATGGAGCTCGGCGCCAGTCACTCTGGCGCCGAGCTCCCTGCTATGTCACCTACCGAGCTCAGGAGCTTGGCGCCAGTGTTCCTGGTGCCGAAACGTGTTAGCGTGCCAAGTTAAGGATCTATTTTCTAAAATTTTTCCATCAGAGTTCTATTTGTGATAAACTTAAAAAAAGGCTAAAATATAAAAAAAATTCGGTCTTCTTTATATGTGACCTGTGCCACATGTTGCAGCTGTGCCACCGTCACCGCCACCGTACGCGAGTGGACGCACAAAGAGTCACGACGTTCTAGGACCAGCTGTAGTAGTTGTTTCAGGCCTTCACCAGCACGCTCTCGATGTGTTCCTCTATTGCAACATCGTCTGCGATGCTGGCACCAGCGATAGGCAGGGAAGGGGCAAGGGCCTATTCGACAACATCGTGTGAACAGCAAGGAGTGTTTTTTTACCTCGGTGTATATAGCGAACACTGAAGAAAACACTGCAGCATTTTTCTCATCCAAAATCCCCGTTTGGGTTCCTTAGTTTAGGGGGAACTGAGATCTACGTAATAGATTAGACTATTTGGTTTAGAATTTGATATTCTATAACATTCTCAAGCTCACAAATAAACTAATCTTAAATTTATAGGATGGAAGATGGAAATAGATTTTATATATCACTATGCTATAATTTTATTCTTCAACTTATAATATACTTTTTAACTTATTTTCCTACAATACAAATGCAAGATATAAGTACGTCTCTGGTATACCTAACAATAAATATATAAATATATTCTACGTATAACTATATTAACTTAATTAATCAATGTCTTAATTGTAATTATTAAAATGCCGAACGGTCCGTTTTTTCCCCCCTTTTCTGGTTTAGCAGCCAGCGCTTTCTGCGATCTTGGCCAGTTGGCCTGTCCCCCACTCCCCCCTGCAGGGGGCGTAGCGTGTGTGTAGAGTACTAGGCGAGTAGCCGAAGGGGCCTTTGCGAGTTTCACTGATTCTGATCGCACCCACGAACGGAACCCAACCATTCCCACGCCCGTTTAGATTGGGCTACTGTATTATTTTCGTTTGTATTTTATAATTATTGTCCAATCATGATCTAATTAAACTTAAAAAATTTATCTCGTAATTTATAATTAAACTATATAATTAATTATTTTTTTATCTATATTTAATACTTTATATATATATATGTGTTCAAGATTTAATGTGATGGAGAGAGAGCGAAAAAAAACTGAATCTAAACAAGGCCCCAGACCGCCTGCGTGACCGAAACCGAACCCACCATTCCCCCACCCAGCCCACCACCCGCTGCTGTCCCGATGGCGACGGACGCCGCGCCGGCGCCGCGCTACTCGCTGCTGCCGGGCCGCCTCCCCGCGGAGGACATCCTCTTCTGCGTCGACGTCGACCTCGAGGCGCGCGCGGAGATGAAGTCCGCCGCCGCCGCCGCGGCGTCCTCGGGCTCCACCTCCACCGCGTCGCCGCAGCCGACGCAGCCCGCGGGGGCCGCCGGGGGTGCCCCGGCGGCGGGGCCCCGGACTGCGGTCAGGCGGATGGACGCGATCAAGCAGGCCCTGCTGCTCTTCGTCCACAGCAAGCTCACCATGTGCCCCGACCACCGCTTCGCCTTCGGCTCCCTCGGCGAGGCGTTCTCCATGGTATCACGGTTCCCCTCACCTGATCCCTTCATTTCTCGGCAACATTTAGTCGGGTTTCGCGTTCCTTGCACTTCTCGAGTTCTCGATGAGAAATTTAGGGAACGAATATTCCTATTTGTGCAGAAACGTTACTACCTGCTGTCTCATACAGTCATACTAGAAATCAGGATTTATTCTGTGATGTGGGGAACCATTAATGTTTGAGCGCCCAGTTCGAGATATAAGGGGATCTACGAGAGGGGATTCTGTTTAGGTTGGGTTTAAGTTAGGAGTTGAGTGAGATATTCGCCCTCAAATTTCCCCAATCATCATGTATTATTGCTCTGTAGTTTGCTCTGAGAGTTATTGGTCAAGATGCTTATTGTATCTCTGGAATGTGATAATATATTGGTTAATATAACTTGTCCCCTTTGAATTTTAAGGTGAAGAAGGGCTTCAGTAGTGATGCTGGTTCAGCAATGGAGGCAATCCATTCCTTGTCTGCTTCAGAATCAAGATATGCAATGGCTGATCTCACCCAGCTCTTCATGACAGCTAACCAGGAAGGTACAAAAGCAGAATCACAAGGCCGGCTTCTCAGGGTGGTAAGCCTTTTGTAACTAGGACTCAGGCTTGCATTGCTTTTAAATTATGTCTGCCTGCAAATTTGATTCCATGTTAGTATCTGGTAACCAATTGGAACAGCAAGTAGAAGTGGTCACTTACAAGTTAGAACATTGTTGATAATTTATCTATTGTTATCGCAGGTGTGATGTAAATTTAACATAGATGTCTCCCTCTGTTAATTATGGTGCTCTGGAAATAGTAAAATGCAGGACCACTCTGAATTGTCGGGGTGCTAATTTTCCTCGGATCACTATCTTTCCTTCTGTGGACAAACATGTTCATGATTTTTATTTTTAATAATGGCACACTGTTTTGGCATGAAGTTATTTACTTTGCATTTCTTCAGTTATGATATCTTGGGTCTTGACTGCTTCAAGTCTAATCATTCCAGGTACTTATCTACTGTCGTTCCTCTATGAAGCCACAGCATCAGTGGCCTGTGAAGCCAAAGAATTTCACCCTTGACATAATCTATCTCCATGACAAGCCAAGTGCTGACAACTGCCCACAGATGGTATATGATGCCTTGGTTGATGTTCTTGACCATGTCAGCCAGTATGAGGGGTACATTCTTGAGACTGGTCAAGGGCTTGCTCGCGTTCTCTTTCGTCAGATGTGCATTCTTCTATCCCATCCTTTGCAACGTTGCATCCAAGATGACCTTGATATTCCCAAACAAGTCGCTAAGAAAACTCTGGCAATCGAAGCTGCACAGAATGAAGATGGCACGCCAGTCTCCAGCCAGCAGTAGGGTCTTCTAGTTGAATGGTATGCAAACATCAAGTTACTTGCAGGTGGTTGGCATTACCGTTCTACTAGATCAGAATGCCTGTTCTAGTGTTCTGTGTGATAGAGATTCCATCTCTGAATTCTCTGTACTATGCTGTAATTGTCCAAGGAGACATCCTTTTCTTGCTGTCCCTTGTTTGACTGGGTATTCAGCATGTAGTTGCACATGATACAAAGAGCTCAAATCTTTGACACTTAAATTTCCTTTGTTTGCAAACTCTTAGTCGCCCAGCAGGTCATATCATGCTCAACTCATCTGAGAGAACTCTGCTGAATTTCATGTTGTGCTAGCTAGGGGAACCATTTCTGCCAAACTTATCGGACATCCGAGGTTCCTGTAATTTTCCTAGTTGTTTGCATTCAGATTCAGGTCATGTTCCCAAAGTACCCTCTCATCCATGGCCTTTTAGAGTCCTGGTACAGATACCCTTGCTTTCAGAACTGAATTGTAGAGGGCATTCATTACAGAAGCATGAAAAATGACTTGGAATTGTTCAGTCTCTCCATAGTACATAAAAAGATCGTTTGCACCGCCAGTATAGCAAGTTAGCCATTCTGAATTCGACATATATACTTCCTTGCATTGCAAGAACCTTTGCAGCCCCCAACGCCATTTTTGTACCAGGAAACCCTTTGCCCTTACACTTTCTCCCCTGCATTTCTTCGCACTCTAAAACACTCCATTTTACATAGCGCCCAAGTGGTCATTTACAGAGACATCATGCTGCCCACTGCATTTTGCTCGCTCATCAGCAGCAGGGGAAGCATGAGAACAATCCGCCCTTTCCTGCTCCCGGAACCGGAGCTGCCTCCGGTTTGCTCCTTGTCTCCGGCTGCGCCTCCGCCTTGGCTTCAGCTTCCGCCGGTGCTGGCGCGGCCTTGGCCGCCTCCGTTGGTGCTGCTGGCTCCGGCTGGTGTTCCCGGTGAGACTGCTTCTTGGAATAGTTCCTCTTGTCCTCTATCAAGCTTCGTGATAAGATTTTGTTCATCAGTTGGTCGAGAAGATCCAGCTTTTAATAAACAACAAGAACGTATTGTAAGCAACGAAATGGCAGATGGTGGTGTGCGTACTTTGGGAAGGCGAAGGAGTAGTTTCCCTTCATGGCGCTCTCGGGGAGCTCCGGGATGCTCTCGAAGGGCGGCGAGATGACAGGGGCGGCCTTGGCGTCGGCGTCAAGGACGACGGCGGCGCTGCTGCTGCGCGGCGGCGTGGCGATGTCCATGAGCTCCGGGTGCGCGAGGAAGAAGCCGGTGAAGTCGCTGGACGGCGCGACCTGGAGGCCGAACACCGACTCCGTGGACATCATGCTCCAGTCCTTGTTGGACTCGGACGGGTCCCGCTCGAACACCGCCGCCGGGATCCTGTCAGGGTCGCCCGCCTCCTCGGCGCCGCTGCTGTCCGACGACGAGAGCCATTCCATGAGCTGCGTCGGCGGCGGCGAGGCCGGCGCCGCGTTGCCGCGGAGCTCGGCGCGGGCGGCGACGTCCTGCAGGGGCAACGCCATCGCGCCAGCCGCGGCCGGTCACCGATCTGGACGCGACCGGCGCGGCGCCTGTGGCACGGGGCGACGACGACGACGACGCCGCCTAATCCTCGGTTGGTGGAGCGGAGCGGAGCCGGGGCGAACGCCTCGTCAGCGCGCGGCATGCATGGGACGCTCGCTATTTTTGGTACACCAGCACAGCCGTCCGACCGGTCTCGGACGGCTGGGGTGCTGTCTCACTGCGGCAAAATTAGCGAGGCGGCGGCGCTCGTCAGCCTGCAGCGAGTATCGGGCGGCGAAATGAGATCTCCGATCAGACGACGGCCAGCTCCCAGCGCCGCGCCGCGCCGCACGTCTGAACCGCGTGGCGCACGCGCGCACGCGCACGGACCACGAATGGAATCGGTCGCACGAGCTGCGCTGGGGCTTGCTGGATTCGACGGCTCTCGTTCGAACGTGGGTTTGTTTGTTTGCAAGGCAGCTCGGCTCTCCGCCTTGCGAGAGCGAATAAATACGACGGCGAGGCGCGAGGGAGGTAAGTCCTGCGCGTGCGCGGGGACGCCCAGATTAGCATGGCGCGCTAGCTTAATATGGCAGCGACGGCGTGGCGTCAACTGGCAGCTGTTGCGACGGGCGCAGCGGCGCTGGAGGTGGTTGGCTGGCGACAGGCGCGCGCGGCTGCGTGGCGACGACGACGAGGCAGATGCAGCACAGGTCGCGCGTGCCTCGTTTTGGCTCGTGACGACAGCGGGAACACGACACACCTTCGTCGTTAGCAAGACGACAGCGCATGCATCAAGCAATCCAAAAATAAATAAAAATAGCGCGTGATATTTTTTTTGAGGGGAAAGCAAAACTAGCGCGTGATATGATGATTTCCGAAGCAAGATCGACATGATATTATTTGGATGGGATTTAATAAGATAATAAGACTTTTGCTATTTATCGGTTGATAGATTTTTTTTTACTAAATCTGTCAGATTTCTATACGTTTGATATTGCTTTAGGATTTATGCTACAACTATCTACTAGGTCAAAATCTGACAAATTTAAATAATAAACTTTTCGACGGATAGCTACTAAATCAACACATCATTTCTTCCCTCGCTTGATATCCATGCTTTAGGATTTGTGCTAATCCGCCTCTACTAGGTCAAAATTCAATAAATTTTTTCACATAAAAATCAGCGACGCGGAAGCTAGTGTTTCCAACACATCAGTTCTTCCCTCCTAGCTAATATAGGCCATAGTGCACTCATTTGACGATGGCGATGGTTGATCAATCAATCGAGATCTCCCATGGGCGGCTACACGAAGTAGTACGAAGTTGCACTCTTCCCTCGTTTCGTAGCACTGCTTGGGCTTCATGGCCGCGCAGCAGAAGCAGGGAGCATTTCCACGGCCTATGTGGACACAGTTCGTCATGATGATACAAAACACCAAGTTCACAGGGGAACCACCCGCCATTGATGGACGCTGTGGAGTTGAGCACCATGGCATTGCCATTGCTATCGCTCGTGCCCTCAAGGACCCGCTCCGGGAAAGATCTCGATGCTAGGAGGGAGGGCAGGCAGAGGACTCAAATCCCGATTGAAGCGCCTCCACGCCTAGGGGCTCGAGGCTTGGTCGGGCCAGGGCGATTCCCCAACCACCCGAGGCGGTGGCTGAGCCAAGGTTGCACCAGGCGTCTTTGGCCTCACCCTAGGCTAGGCTCCCATCCCCAACCTATATTGAGAATATTCTCCTAGAATTTGTTAGGTGCACAAAACCTGATAGGAGGGCAGAGTCACAGGTGCTAGGCTCTGTCGGGACTCTGCCCCCTCTCCCTCGTGGAGACGTCTCAACCACTCCCACAGGGTCATGCATGGGGCATGACACATACAACACGTGCCGCCACGCTCATCTCTCTGGAGGAGTCCGGACCCGCTTGGCAGTCTCGCTCTGCATGCGCCCGGACTCATGTGGTGCGACGGATGCTACAGGGAGGCCGGAACCGGAGAAGGCATAACAGCAGCAGACAACACTCAGCTCCAGGTGGTGGCAGAGGATGTTAGGAGCAGTTGGAACGTTGTCGCCCCCTCCCCTCCCCGGCTACAAGATGAAGGACGGTGCTTGGCGTCGTGATGGATTGAAGAAATGGGACTCGAAACCCTAGAAATTCCCTAAAGCCATACGACTTGTACTCCCATCGCCCTCTAGTATATAAGGTGGGGCATGGGCTCCTATAGCGCGATTGTAAAGTCCACGATTGAGCATTCCTAACACGCAAAACATTATTACTAGAGGTCTGAGCTAGGATAAATCTCTTATGTTTTGAATGCTTAAGTCACCGAAGACTCACATATCCATCCATGATGAACAACTCTTGTGTTTTGAATGCTTAAGTTTTTCTCTCACACAAACCAACCAAAGAGACTCACATATCCATCCATAATGAACAACTAGATCGCTGCCGTGAAATCGAACCCACGAACAGTGGGTGGTAGCCTTCTGAGTCGTGGCCCCTCTGAACGACATGTCCGAGTTGGGTAGGGGTTTAGCCTTTCGTGAAGTCACGCTATATCATGATGAGGGTCGGTATAGGTACTTGTCAGTCCTCACCTTGATAACGGACTAAAAGTTTATACATAGTTTACTAGTCTTTGAAAATCAAGCCTAAATTGAGATAGACAACTTTATTTCTTCTCTTTATTAATTAACTCTATACACCAATGAGGGCTAATGAAATCATATATAGTTTAGCACTCATCTAATGTGCATGACATCATACGTGACCAGCCTATGAGTGTAAGTATAGTAACAAGCTGTAAGTAAGCTTTATGCTAAGGTGAAAAAAAGATAATAACAGAGAGAACAGGGGTGAGTTGTAAGTTTACAACCTCCAATAAATCTTGTGAGAGAAGAAAGTTATATTTACAGTGAAGATCTAACTATTATATATTTTTTTAGCAAATCAAACTATTATATAAATAGGCTTGGAGATGGTCATGCAATATTTTATTAGCCTTGAAGTGAGTTATACGGCATGTTCGCTGGTTAGTTTCTAGGCTGATAAGCCTGGTTGGTGCTGGTTTGTTGTGAGAGAAAAACACTGTTGACTGGCTGAAAAGCCCTGGCTGAAACCAACAAACGAACAGGCTGATGGTTTCAACCACGTAACTCAAGATGCATTTATTACTCAACCTATTCCAAATTATAAAATTATAAACTATTTTAAGTTTAGCTTTTGTTTCAAGCCAAACTCTATTTTTAACCAAATTTATAGAAATGTACGTATATTGATATCTATGGCTCTGTTTGGATCCACTCAACTAAAGTTTTTAGCTAGCTAAAATTTCAAAGCTGGCATGGGCAACTCGTGGGTACCCGTTCTCCGCTCGGGATATAGGCGCACATTTGTACCTGCCCGCGGGTATGGATTTTTTAAATGGGCATAATTTTTCTCTGCGAGCACAGGTATGGGTTAGTCGTACCCAGCGGGTATGTACCCGTTGCCATCTTCGCTTCACCTTATGCTCCGTGCCTGCTGCCTGCCTTTGGATGCACCTTCGTGCTCCACTTTGTCTCGTGCTCCGCACCTGCTAACCGTCCATGGAAGCAGCTTCGTGCTCCGCGCCGGCAGCCACGCCCATGGATTCAGCTTTGTGCTCCACGCCTGCTGCCACGCTCACTTCGCTTCCCGCGTGCACGCGGGGACCGCTGCACCCAAGGGGACCACCTTTGCCTGCGCCCCCTTGCCGCACCTGTTCATGAAACACTTGCAACATAAAGCATTTACTGCAACATACGTCGAAACAGATGAACATTTACAATATACATTTGCAACATTTGTATATAGGCATTGCAACATATGCAACATCCAGATAAAACACTTGTAACATATATTTGAAACAGTTGAAACATTTAAACATACACTTGCAATATATGTGTATAGTCATTGCAACATATGCAACATCAGATCTACTTTTGCAATATCCAAATGAACATATGCAACATACATCTGAAATGCATGAAACATACGGTTGCAACAAGTGCTCACCTACTTGTTGCTCTCCAATGGATGCTCCGCGCTCATTGATGCGGAGCTTGACGCTAGCACGGAGCTCGATGCCACAGCACGGAGGTCAGACCTCAGCTGTGCGCAACTCGAGTCCGAGCGAGAGGCGCGAGGTGCGGCGGAGCGCAGCGCGAGGCATGAGCGGCGCGTGGCACGAGGCGCGGGTGGGGACGCGAGGCGGGGGCAGGTGGGTCCGTCCCATTCGGCCAGCCGAACGCTCGGTAGAGAGCGTTGCCATTATTTGAAACAAATAAAATAATTTTTAATACGCTATATTAGAGAAATACAGTCAAGTTCACCACCGGTGTGGCAGTGTCCATGTCGTATACTCCCTACGTTACATAATAGATGACGTTTTATAATTTGTTATGGAAACTAACGTTTCATTTCACTCTGCACACCTCGGAGCCTGGTTCATATGGGTGTGTTTGGTTCACTTTCTCTACTAAGCCTGGCTAGCAAAATAACCCAGGCTAGCTTTTAACCTTGTTTGGTTGCTCTGTTCTAGACAAGCTGGCTTGGCCAGATCTTATTTGGTTGCCAGACTAGTTCGAGTGTATTCACTGCTTCTTTGCTAAGGTTAGCTCACCTCCATCTTCTCTGCTTCGGTAGTGGCGGGGAAGGAAGATTCGACAGCGGTGGAAGGCTGATTCGGCGCCTATTCGGTGGAGGAGGAGGCCAATTCGGCGGTGGGGAGGCCGATTCATCGGCGGGAAAGTCCGATTGGGCAGTGGAGGAAGCCGATTCGGCAGCGAATCTCTCGCCTCGTCTCCGCTAGCAGGGCTGGCCGCTGGTGAAGCATTGTCTCCTCCAAATCCCGCCCGATGACGGTAGTCCTAACTCGCCTGACGCCATGCCCCTCACCTTGCCCATCGCTGCAAGTTCCCGCCGCCGTGACACGGACCTCGTGCTCGGTGGTGACGGATGTGAGGTGAGGGGAGCTCGGGCGGGGAGGTGGTGGAGAAGGAGCGGCGGCACGAGCTCGGGCTGGACGGTGGTGGTGTAGGAGCGGTGGCGCCCGACGACCCTTTTCTTACGGAGGTGAGGTGAGGCGAGCTCGGGTCGAGTGGTGGTGGAGGAGCGGCGAGGCGAGCTCGGGCAGGACGGTGGTTATGGAGGAGCGGCGGCTCGAGCTCAGTGGAGGTGCGCGGGGCGGTGGTGGTGGAGGTGCGTGGGGCGAGCTCGGTGAGGGGGAGGTGAGGTGATGGGAGCGCTGGCTAAGCCTGGCTTGTTGGAAACGGAGGGGGCGAGCGTTTCCAGCAAGCATGGATAACGGTCCTTGGGTGGCTAGCTGGGGCCATGCTAGGAGGGCTTTACAGGAACCAAACAGACACAGGTCATTTTATGGAAGCCTGGCTAGGGGTGAATGACTTCACCATATTCAGGCCCTTTGGTTTAGATGCATGACGTCGAAGCGGGAGAATGACTGGTCAGAGCATGCGAGATAAGGGCAATTAGTGAGATAAGGGCAGTCCCAACCAAAAAAAACTATTAGTTTCTATAACATAGGATACCACACCAAAAAGTACTGTTTTTCAACCCATAGTTTTTATGAGTAATAATTATTTTCTCTTTCTCTCTCCCAACTCTATCTTCTTCCTCCAATGTGAGTGCGGCACGAGCCCCCTAGAAACTGGTGGTTTCTCTCCAATGACGATTTCATGGTTTCTTGGTGCATTGGGTCAAGAAAAGACCTGATTTCTTCATGAGGAAACCATTTCTAAGATTTTTGTTCTCTTTCTTCATTAATTATGTTGTCATGTCAGCGCTTTGCCTGCGTGGCAAGTCATTTAATAAGGATAGAAACCATCATCAATACACCATTGGGACTACCCTAAGTTAGCTCTAAGCATTTTTTTATATTTTAATAGAAGAGAGAGAAAAGCTAGCTCTTGTTCAAGAGCTAAGCTCTTACACATATTTCAAGGTTACATGAGAGTATCATGTGGGGCTATCCATGTTAAAAGTTTTGTGCTAAAAGTTAGCACTATTGGAGAAGTTAGCTTAGAGCTAGTAACTAGCTCTAACCATTACGGTGCCCTAAGGGGAGATTAAAAACATCTAGGCTCCTAACTCGTTTTGGCAATTAATGATGATATAATCATCGTGACTAACGTGTGTTTTGCGGTGCCATTTCTTAGTGAGGTCAAAATAATGATGTATATTGACTGGGCTCTTGTGGTTTTCATTCCCTTAATGATGAATTTGATCGGTTTTCAAAGGATGTGTCTCAAGGCTAAGGACGAGCTAGTTCTAAGTGTTTTTTGGCATTGAGAAACATTTAGAGCGGTTTAGGTTCTTATTCTCTCCTTTGGTCATACACTCATACTATGAAGAGGGGTATGAATGGGTAGCTTGACCTAAGTGAGTGCATGTGATGTACACTTGTGAAAACTAGCACTAGGTTCCTCAAATGGAGCCCAAAGATGATTGAAACCCAAAGCCAAACTCAATGGAGTTGAATTGCAAGAGTTTACACTATTTTTGTAGGCATCATAGATCTCCGGTTTGGGCACCGCAAAATCCACCAGAGCTATAGAACATTGTTTGGATAGGGTTTTCTCCGTCTGTTCAAGAAATAGTTCTGGTGTAGACACCGGAGTGATGCAATTGAGAAGTGTGTTGGCTGAGAGGAGATGAAATCACTGTGATTGGTTTTCGGTTGAGTGGAGTGCCAATGGCTAGTTTTGGGTGCTTGACATATATACACTCCATCCTCATGCATTTTAGGTGTCTTCAAAGTTAGGCTAGCTAGTTAGACATACTTGAGTTTAAAAAAAACTCGATCCGCGGTGGCTAGACAGCCCCGGGTATTCCGCTTAAAAAGAAGATCTTCTCACACGGATCGAGAAAACCCTCGAACACCTGCTCCACCCATACATAGCGGCACCGCAGCTCCGTGAGATGAGCTAGCCATAGATCTGTGCTTTGGATATGGGGCAAACGAGAGAGTTTTTTTCCCCTTGTCGCTGCGGCCGAAGCCACAAATAAAGAGTGGGTCCATTGGGACTCGAACTCTGACCACCCCAAAGGGGTGGTACCGAGAGTTAGACATACTTGAGTTTAAGAGAGTGATTTGGCCTATTAGAGTGGGTAGAAAGTATTAATTGAATATTAAGGACTTCATTAGTACTTAGAGAGTAGCAAGTGTGCATCCATTCTTCTCACTAGGCTAGGTTGGTCATGTGAGAGTTTGTGCTTGTTACTCTTGATGATCGGTATCATCTAGATGACTCGGTGGTGGTGTGGCTCTTAGTAATCTCTCATTGGTGTTTGCGAGAGGCCCAAGAAGATGAAAACGGTTGCAGCGATCCACCATTCTTGAGGATCAACCAATAGAGAGAACTTGGCCATGCGTTGATCAAGGGGAAGTAAGACCCTTGTGCGGGTGCTCTGACGAGAACTAGTGGAGAGTGTCGACTCTTGATACCTTGAAAAAAAAATTATGTGTTTTCTAACCCTCTTTACTTTCCTCATTTACTTTTATGCATTTTATATTCTTATAATTATCATGTTAGAGTAGGGTTGTAACTTAGGATGTAAAACTTTATGCAGTAGGAATATAACACTTGTTAGGTACAATAGGTGAATTTGGATAGATGATAGGTTCATTTCCAAGAAAATTTTACATTAGCCTAATTTGACGGCCCTCTTGGACATCTTCATACTTTCAATGTCAAATGCGTCAAGGGACATTCCCGTGGCGTTGGATCATGTTGTGTTTCCAAGGTTCGGGGCATGTGCATCCTTGAGTCTCGATATATCAGAACTAGCCAATTGTTAATGACATGAACTGGAAATGAATTGGGTGTTTCCAAGGTCCTTTTCTGTGCATCCCTGAGTTTTGATATATCGAACCAGGCAATCATTACGAACACGAATTAGGGGTGAAGAATGACATTAGGGGCCTCTGAATTTACTCTGTTGTATCTTTCTTATTGTCCAGAGACTTGGATGGACATGCATATAATTGTTATCTCTTGATTTAATAGAATCCCTTCCCCCTTCGGGGGAAAAAATATAAATGTACAAAGTAAACAAATACCATATGAAGATAAAGATACACCGCACATCTTCCTTTCTTTCTTTCTTATAAAAAAGGCATCATACTAATTCGGAGGCAGTTTGTGTTGGCCATATGTTTAGCAAATTATAGGATAAACTAAACTTTGAAATAATCCTAGAACACATTAGTTTGTTGTCCATTTCTCTAGTTAATTCATACATATTCGTTGAGTACAAATTCCGTAGCAAAATCACACAATTCATTGTGGTATGACCGAATATCAGCTATATGTAACACATGCCGACCGTTACGTGGAAAATAGCCCATAGCCCTCTTCTGAACGACTGAACAAGATCAAAATGTCATGGCAATACACTCCTCTCTAGCAGCGGCAAACAGGTCAGAGTTCATGTATCTCTCACCCCCACTTGGAAACATGGTGACAATCATCTTCCCCTTGTTTTCTTCTCTCGATGCGACCTAAAGGTGCATTCATTTCAAGGTTTACTAAAAAAATTCAGAATGGGAAATAACAATTAATGGAAGAGATTTTATTAGGATTGTTGCAAACCTTCAAGCAAGCAGCCAAGTTCGCTCCAGATGATATGCCCACAAGAAGGCCCTCTTCCCTGGCCAGCCTCCTAGCGTGCACCATCGCCTCATCAGTGGTCACTGTGACAGCCTCATCAATAACTGAGGTGTCCAGTACTTCAGGTAGAAATCCTGGTCCTATTCCCTGGATTTTGTGTTTGCCTGGTTCGCCACCTGAAGGACAGAATTTACTATGTCATTATCATTCAATGTGCACATGGATTGCTATTGTTCAGTGCAGAAAACATTGCTCTGTGATCATCCAAACAAAGTAGAAAGTACTCTATGCTCTAGAAGTATATACAGTATGGGTCATACAACTATGTTTATCCCTGACTAAAACTCATGTAGTGAAATTCCACTGTGCCTAATAATTGGTTAGAGCTTTTGACTTGCTGAAAACTGATGGGCCATCAATAGGGACAACTATAATGGAAACTGAGGTATCTCTAAAGAAATGTTAGCTACTTAGGAATACTTTCTGGGAGCATAGAAGCACTCTAACTTCCTGTATGTACCACGATCATTCACTCCAAAGATCATATATTAACCTAATTGATGGTTCTGAATGGTGTACTAGTACTACCTGAAACAACTGGACTCTCTGCAGGCTCAACACAGATGATCTTGATACTGGGGTTCTGCATCTTCAGATACTTCCCAACACCAGATACTGTACCTCCTGATCCTGAACCAGCTACAAATATGTCCACCTTGCCAGCAGTGTCCTTCCAAATCTCAGGTCCTGTATATCAGTACATGCCAATAACATGCAATTTATTATGATAGCATGTAGAAACCACATTGTCACCTGCACCAGTTCCAACAAAGTACATTAAATAGGACAGAAACTACTAATAACTATCACTACTCTGTCATACAAAGCCCTTGAAGTGTACAGGATGTTCGGTGCAACCCTTTGGTTTTTGAACTATCGATGACATCAGGGTCAATAAACACGGTGCAGGCAATCAGGTTATGAGATTTGCATTGTCGTCATGTGAGAAGGAAAGAATTTAAAAGAGTGCATAGCATAATTTTGCAAGTTGAAACATCGAGAAAGTATAGATTTCAGGGGGAAAAGTCGTCTCCGTAAGCTAACTAATGTATACTGAAATAAAAACAGCGTATCCAAACTCATTCAGTAACCATACCAGTCCATCTAATATGTGCTTCAGGATTTGCTTTGTTCTTGAATTGATCAAGAACATGTACATTGGGCAATTCTTTTTTGAGCTCCTCAACCTTAGCATCTATGCCCGGGAATCCAAGGGCTGGATCTGCATATGTCACACTCATGGGTGAGTAGTTAACCCATACAATTCCACTGAATTTACACTGCCACTGCAGCATGAAAGTAGCATCCGAAAAGTCAAACAAGGTGCTACAGTAGCTTCGATCGTAGAAATTGTCTCACCTGTTAAATACAACTCTGCACCCATGTATCTCAACAGGATCTGCTTATCGAGCGAGTATTGACCTGGCATAACTGCAACGAACCTGTAACCTTTGCGAAGAGCAATGAGTACTAATCCTAACCCCATGTTGCCGCTTGTCGGCTCAACAAGTGTTGTGACACCGGGTGAAATCAACCCCCTCTCCTCTGCATCTTCAATCATTCTTCAGAAGAAAATAGAAATGTTATTGTACAGTCTGTGGTAGTACAATCATATAACAGAGAAACAATATGGAAAAAAATTAGTTGGCTACAGCATAAATCTAGAAAGTGTGCTAGTGCAATCATATAACAGAGGAACAATGAGTTAGCTACAGCATTAGATCCAGAAAGTCTAGGACCATCAAATAGTCTAGTGTTTCTGAACATGGCAAAAATGCAGGCCATACATGTGTGAAGTTGGGAGACATGTGCAGGACAGACACGAGATTGCCTGCCAGTTGACTTTGTGTTCCCTCTTCCCAGTTTGCTATTTCTCAGCTAAAAATCGAATCAGATGATGGAGAAACAGGATAACTAACACTGGTCAGAGTTCCATCTGAGCTCCCTAACCCCAGTTGAGGGGGGGAAGAGGAGGAAAAATGTCAGACCTCAAAGCGCTGCGATCCTTGACGGAGCAGAGTGGCTGGTACGCCTCGACCTTGCCGACGATCCGGGCATCTACCCCTTCCTTGCCGGCAATTCGCTTGAGCTCGATCAGAGGTGTCCAGCCGATGAGCTGAAGGAATCGTCCCACACGAACAGTTAATCTCTCATGGCGCCCCCAAAACCAAAAGGCAAGCACGAAGACGAGAGCGAGAGAGAAGGAAGAGAACATGAGGGGGGGGGGGCGGGCTGGGGGCTGACGACCTGCGTGACATCAGAGGCGATGTGCTCCTGCTGCCCTTCGCTGCAAGCGGACGACGGGTTGAGGAGAGAGGGAATCCCCCTCCTCCCGGCCTCCTCTCCCGCCATGGATGCTGCTCCAAAGTCCAAACTACCGAGCGTTTCTTGGCCTCTCACAGCGTGCTGTCAGTGAAGACTGAAGATTGCCTCTTGCGAGCCGCGGAGACTCTTTTAGCAGCTGCACTTGCTGATTTTTTTTATAGGCTATTACGAAGTAAATTGTAGTAATACGGTCCAGTCCACGACCACCAGTGTCCGTGTCAGTCTAATAAATTTGCAAATGTTTCTGGATTGGAGGTTTGCGAATTGCGATTGGTTGGCAGCGAGTCTCAGAACGAGATAAGTGACCTGTTCGGTGACGGCCTGCATAATTGTTTAATGTCAGGTTTCAACCAAAGGATGTCCATTTGGCAGCCACATGTTTTGATGGGTTCCGACAACTTCTGAGCTCTGACTTCGCTGGAACCAAGGAGGAAGACCTCGGAAGAAGAGATGAAAGGATCAGCTAACAAATAAGCCGAACAGGCCGGCTTCTTGTCAGCCGAACGGGGCCTGCCTAAGCAAAACCGAAGATGAAATGATCACCTTGCATTGCTGATTAGTACCATATTTGATGTACATCTTCCGTTCTAAAAAATCCATCGTTCTAGGTTTTAAGTTATTTTTAATTTAATCAGATTTATAAAAAAATATTAACAAGATATGATTACCAAATAGGTTTGAACAAGGTCACCTGACCCAACGAAGTACACATTAACTCAGCCAATAGCCAACCGATCCAATCCACCTGATTCCGACATTAACTGCATAACCTTTATTATTACAAATAAACCTTTATTTGATTTAGTGATAAACCTTTAATTGTTTTGTAGGGCTTTCCCTTCTCCGAAGAGAAGGAGCCCTTCCAGAAATTCTCAGTGGCCCAGTGGGCCAAAGAGGGGGTTTGGAAATAGTTTTCAACCAGCAATTGACGCGCCTCGGTATGACCTCATAAGCTGCGTCATTGCCCCAAGCGCAAAGATGGTTTTCGCAAATCGCCCGTCCCCGCCTCTTGTACCCGCCTCCCCGTGCCTCTCCGTCTCTCCTCTTCCGAGGTGGGACAAAAAGATCCATACCGCGGAACGCGACTGCTCACCACGCACGGTGCTTTCTGTTCCCACCTGGGCCCTTTCGAGTTGTCACGGGCCACACGCGCAACGCCTCGTGCTCTCCTCCACGGGCCGGGCTAAACATGCGCTCGGTTTCCACTGGGTCTCTCTCTCCTGCTCTCCCTCTATTTGAGGCCCGTTTCCTCGCACCTCCGTCGCAAGGGCAGGGCCCTCGTGCTGCTGGACCAATAGGCAGTAGGCACCGCCCAGCCCACTCGAGCGTCCAAGGCTTCAGCCTTCAGTGTATGTAGTACGGTACTGCACCTCCGACTCACCGCGCCGCCGCGCGAGCCCGCTGCACCGCCGCGATGCTGCACCTCCGAAACCACCTCCTCCCTCACCTCCGCGCCACGTCCCCGCTGCTCTCTCCCATCCACCACCACCGCGCGTGCCTCCTCTCCGCCTCCGCGGCCGCCCCCTTCTCCCTCGAGGACTACCTCGTGGCCGCCTGCGGCCTCAGCCCAGCGCAAGCCCGCAAGGCGTCCAAGCAAGCGCTCGAGGAGGCATCCAGAGAAGCCGGGAAACCATTCGAGGAGCTTAGGAGCTCCCGCCTCAACTCCGCCTCCAACCCCGACGCCGTCCTCGCCCTGCTCTCCAGCGCCGGCGTCTCCCGCGCCGACATCGCCGCCGTCGTCGCCGCGGACCCGCTGATCCTCCGCTCCTGTGTAAACAAGATCGGGCCCCGCCTGCTCGCTCTCCGTGACCGCATCGGCCTGTCCGCTCCGCAGATCTCACGCTTCCTCTTGGTCGGCTCCCGGAAGCTCCGTTCCGGCGACGTCTGTCCCAACCTCGAGTTCTTGATCTCCTCCTTCGGCTCGCTCGAGCCGGTCCTAGCCGTCATGAAGGGGAGCAGGAACATCCTAACCTTGGACCTTGATAGGGTGATCAAGCCTAACTTCGCGCAGTTTCGCCAGTGCGGTCTAACCTCTCGAGATATTGCCCAGATGTGTTCCTATTGCCCGTGGCTGATTGGGTTCCAACCAGAGCGCGTCAAGGATTTCCTGCTGCGCGCAGAAGACCTTGGGGTGTCCCGCGGATCGCCCATGTTCAAGCACATGGTAGCAGCGATGTCCCGTACCAACAAAGAGAAGAATGCTGCCACGCTCGAGTTTCTGAAGAGGAGTCTTGGTTGCTCTGAGAGCGAAGCTGCCTTTGCTGTGTCCAAGACGCCAAGCATTCTAGGACTATCTGATGAGTGCCTTCTCCCCAAGATCCAGTTCTTGATCAACGAGGTTGGACTGGAGCCGCAGTACATTCTGCAAAATCCTTCCCTGCTCACATACAGCCTAGAGAAGCGGCTAGTGCCCCGATATTGTGCCATGAAGATCCTGCGGGCAAAGGGATTGATGAATAGCAATTTTTGCAGATTAGCTCAAATTGGAGAGCAGAAATTCAGATTGAAGTTCATAGACCGTCACAAGGACTCTGTTTCTGGGCTAGCACATGCTTATGCCACAGCTCGTGCTGGCCTTGTGCCCTCTGGGGTCTAATTATGACATCTTGAATGAAATGTTTAAATCCATTATATTTTCTAGGCAGATGGTAGAACTGCAACTCATGGTGCACTCTTTCTCAGTTCTTGGTTCCTGCAATTGAACCACTAGTGATGTTTGACTAGCATTGCTCAAGTTATGTTTTGGTTATCTATGAAGGAACTGGTTTGGCAGCTTTGGCTTATTTTGAAGCCTCACTGCACATGTTTGTCAGTCGTTTCTGCCTCACACTTGGCTGAAGTTTAAGTGCTTAACATAGTTGTTCTTCTGCTAGGTCCTTGTGATTACCTAATTACTGGGACTTTCAACTTTGACAGGATTAGCTTTCCCTTTTCTCTAACCGTGCTTGCCCAAGATGTTCTATTTCAACCATTGTTTTACCTATACACTAGTCACTGATACTTGTTTGGCACTTCCCTGTTTCGTTTTTAGCTGAGTTGTTTACTTTTACTTGTATTGATGTTTGCATTGTACATTACTTCACTGAACCTAAACTAGTACTTTCAGTTAGTGGCCAAATTGCTACTGAGAAGAAACTTTCTACAGTATGAGACAATTTTGTAATGCCAGTGTTGCAACTTGCAAGTGACAACAAAATATCCTTGATTTCTAAGGAATGTTTTGGTGCCATGGAGCTCTGCCCATGCACCAAAGATGGTTGTCTGTTTGGCCTTAAGTGGATGAGATAAAACACTGAAAATCGATGGCAAATAGTAAGGGAGAAGACTTCAGAGAGGACTAATTTGTTGTTCTTGCATTTTTCCCCCACAGAATATACAGAGAGAGAATCACCCTTCTATGCTGGCATCTTGACTTGGCCACCTAGGATTAAAGAAATTGGTTTGTCATATATAGAGAACATTTCTATCTGGAAATAAATCCATTAAATAACGAAACAAAATGTTCTAAAATCGAAGGCTTAAACTTGTTTATTAGCATTTTGATTAATCTTGTGATTTTGAGAAGTAGGAATTTCTCTCAACATATTTGGATTTTTATAGCCTGTGTATGATGGATAAGTAGCACGGTACTGTTTATACGACTTCTCTTTTTATATGCCATACTATGCATTATGGGTTTATGGCAGTTCACATGATGTGCGCAAGAACTTGATGTGTTTTCTAAGCATGATCACAAAAGGCCGTTGTAACCACCGAATGCCTTCTGTTTTGAGCTGTTTCTGAAATTCCAGGCCTGTGGAGAATTCTTTATTTGCTTGTAAGTTTGAAGTCCGGCTGCTGTCCGGGCTTCGATATGTTTTCCATAGCTTATGAGCAGAAGCAGGAAAAGAGATAGGCCAAGTGCATGCCTAATTTTCTATGGCATGTGTGTAATGACAAAGACTACAGGGTGCTTTCCTCCTTTGCTGGAACCAGGGGCGCCTTCCCCTGCCGTTATCTGGGACTCCAGCTCCATACAGGTCCTTTCAAAAGGTGCATGTGCAGCCCCTGATTGGGCGCATTGGCCAGAGGCTCCCCACCTGGAAGGGGAGATGGCTCAACAAAGCAGGTCGCCTGACGCTCGGCGGTTCTTTTTTCCATGCCGACTTATCACCTCACTGTGTTTCTTCTGGCGGCTTAGGCAAGAAAGAAAATAGACAAAATCAAAAGATCTTTCTTTTGGAAAGGAGATGAGAACGCAAATGGTGGCCACTACCTGGTAAATTGGCCAACGGTGACCCGACCAAAAGACCTGGGTGGCTTGGGGGTGCCTGATCTGGAGAAATTCGGGAGAGCTCTCCAACTTCGTTGGTTGTGGCAAGAATGGGTAGACTGAGTCAAAACCATGGGCGGGCTCCCAACTCACATGTAATGAAGCAAATCGGCTACTCTTCAACTTGTTGACCGTGGACACAATTGGAGATGGCGCAAAAGCCAGGTTTTGGCACAGCAGCTGGCTAGAGGGAGTAGCACCCAGAAACTTGGCGCCACACTTGTTTCTCCTAGTCACCAGAAAAAACAAGATGGTGCAACAGGAACTTCAAAATAATAACCGGATACACTCACTAAGGGGAAAGATCACCACTGCTACCCATATAGAAGAGTTCGTCTCTCTATGGATCAGAATTCAAAATGTTGCTCCCAGGTGTACGTGACTCGATCACTAGGAAATGGACGTCGAACTGCTGCTATTCCACTCGATCAGCTTACCGTATTCAGTTCAGCGGCACCTATGGGAGGTTCAGGAACAACCAAATTTGGAAGGCACACACTAAAAATAAATGCAAAGTCTTTGTGTGGATTCTCATTCAGGACAAAATCCTAACAGCAGACAACTTGTAAAGAAGAGGATGGCCACGTTAGGAACGCTGCGTTCTCTGTGACTGGACCCTTGGAGACTGGACTGCACCTATCACTTCTATGCCCATCCGCCAAAGCGGTGTGGAACCAAATCTTGGGCCTTGTTTGATTGCAAATTTTTGCAATCCGCACCTATCACTTTGTATTACAAACTTTGCCCATACGCCTAAATGCTCGATGCATGTGTTCAAAAAATGTGTGAACCAAATCTTGGACTGATGGAGCACTTGGACTGGGAGCACTTTGATATACATCTCCCACAGCCACAGCATGACCCCTTGCACATTCACGACTGGTGGGAGGAGGCCGCAAAGAAGGTACCCAAGAGCCAAGGCGCTTTCACGGAATGGCGATCTACACTTTCTGGAACATATGGAAGGAACGGAACAGACGGATTTTCAATAATGTGTCGGAAACGGCATTACAGACTGCTTCAAGAGTGAGGGAAGACATTATGTTAACAAAGAGGGTCATACATAGACTGGCTTAGAAACTCCTCAGTGAGTTTTGTTGTGTTCCGTCATTTTCCCGGCTGAGTCCTGAAATGACGATTTGTACATAAAAACCTCTATTTTCTACCTTAATTGAAGTGCAGAGCTCTTGCCATTACTTTCAAAAAACAGGAGTTATTTTTATATAATACTCCTATACGTTCATTGTATGATAAGCTGTAAAACCTGTTTGCCTCCACAGTGTCATTTACTCGAAGATACGAGTACCAAGTCCCAGAAATATGTTTGTGTGGAGACTGCTGACAGTATGGCTCCCAAAGTCCCAATTCCTGAGTTTTCAGTGTTTTTCAGTCCAAAGTGCAGTGCTATCTTCCAAAATAAAGGGGAGATCAAAATTTCATGGCGATGCACTCCTCTCGTACATCTGCAAAGAGGTCGGAGTTCATGTATCTCTCGCCACCACTCGGGAACACGGTGACGATCATCTTGCCCCTGTTCTCCTCTCTCGAAGCGACCTGAAGAAACACTCGAAGGATCACTGTATGAACCTTCAGGCAGGGAATTGAAATGCGAGAAGAAGAGTCAGTTAGCTAGGATGTGTGTCTGAACCTTCAAGCAAGCTGCCAGGTTTGCTCCGGAAGAAATGCCCACAAGCAGGCCCTCTTCCTTGGCCAGCCTCCTCGCGTTCACCATGGCCTCCTCAGTGGTCACGGTGACAGTCTCGTCGATGACCGAGGTGTCCAGGACTTCAGGTATAAATCCTGGCCCTACTCCCTGGATTTTATGCTTGCCAGGCGCGCCACCTGAAGAATACCAATGCTTATCAATGTGCAGATACAGTTTTAGAGTTTGTGATTCTTATAGCAAATATTGTATTTTGTTAAGCCACACTGCTCAAGAGTCAAGGCTTCCAAAAGATTATTTTGAATTAACTGCTGTTTCTACATTTGTGTAATACTACCTGAAATCACTGGGCTTTCTGCAGGCTCAACACAGATGATCTTGACGCCTGGATTTTGCATCTTCAGATACTTTCCAACACCAGAAACAGTGCCTCCTGTGCCTGAACCGGCCACAAATATGTCCACCTTGCCTGCTGTGTCCTTCCAGATCTCAGGTCCTGTGTTTGTAAACAGTAGGCAAGGTGTCATGACACCATGTAGTAACAACATAGTTTTAAGCTACAACAGTACCAGCAGAATTGGTTTAGTAATACAAATCCTGACCAATAATTGTTACTGCCCTAGTAGAATACAATATTCTAATAGTGCCCAGGATTTTGGTGGGTTTCTAAACTATGACGGCAACAGGGCCCTGAAGAGTAACATGTTGCACAAAGGATTCAGGTTCTGAATTTCTGATACAGTGATATTTGCACTAGCATAGCATGACGGTCGGTCTAGAAATATCGGTACCATTTATACCCCTATTAGCATGTGTTAGAAGCAAGAAACAGGACTTCCATATAAATGCATACATAAAAATACTATTCCATGGTAGCTAACTCCTGTTATATCCATACATAAAAAGGACAGCAGCTAACTCCTGTTTACCGAGATATAAGCATGATTTGAACACATATTCTATCCATACCGGTCAATCTGAAGTGGGCTTCAGAATTTGCTTTATTCGTAACTTGATTCAGAACATGTACATTTGGCAATTGTTTTCGGAGCTGTTCAACTTTGTCAAACATGCCCGGAAAACCAAGGGCCGGATCTGCACATACGTTACACCCAAAGGAAGAAGGTCACCCATAAAATTCCTTAATCAAGGGAATATGACTGAAAAAAAGCAATTAAGGTGATGCCATAACTTTCTTCAACTAATCGTACCAGTTAAGTGCAGCTCAGCACCCATGAATCTCAACAAGATCTGCTTGTCAAGCGAATATTTAGCTGGCATAACTGCAATGAGCCTGTAACCCCTCTGAATAGCAAATAGAACCAATCCTAACCCCATGTTACCGCTCGTCGGCTCGACTAGTGTTGTGACTCCAGGTGAAATCAATCCCCTCTCCTCTGCATCTTCTATCATTCTTCAGAAGAAAAATGGAAGGTAAGTGTCAGCACAGGTGTGCATCTTATGTCATTCTTCAGAAGAAAACAGAAGGAACAAGGAAGTGTCAACACAGATGTTAGCTGAATCTTATTCTCTTCTAATAATAACACAACCACAATGGAAAAGTTTTCGCCATCCTTTCTCGGGAGAGAGAAAAAAAACTATTTGGATTAGCATAAACAAA